TATAAAAAAAAACATTTTCTTTTGCATTTGACATAATGACTAAAACATAAAACAATAAATAATATTAATAATTCACAATATAAAATGCAGGTTTATAAATGTAAAATTGAAGTTACTGCAAATTCACCTAAACTATTTATAGGAAACTTTATTGCCTTGTGTGAAATTGAGTTAAGTGAAATAACCTTAATTTCAACTGATAAATTTCTACACAAATAAGTTCCAATACTATTAGATGGACTTAAATACAAATCAGTTACTGTTTCAAATTTATAACAAATTAAACTTATTTCTGAGTCATTCTGTACTATGGATTTGATTACTAAAACTGAGCCATCAAAGCTTATGCAGCAATTATTGGCTAGGTCTGTTTTTAAAACAAATTTTTCAGTTTCTACTTTTTTAAACTGTTGCCCACATATTCAATAAAATTCCACTAGTTTTTTTGCTAACCTTAGGATAATATTTATTGTTTAAATTAATACCCAACAAAATTTTTTTTTTTTTAATTTACGTTTAAATGATCGAAAGCGGTTTTCAAAAGTAAAAACACTGAAGTTATCTAATACACCATAAACATGACAATCATCTACTAAGTATATTAAACTATGGAAATTTTAGGAAACGTGTTCCTCTCCATATAAATCACTGAATTGTTCCACATACAATTTCAATAAATCTTCAGCATAATTAATCATAGATGGCATGTATAAAAAAAAAGCTAAGACTCTCATAGATACATGCAACATCATAAAATGTAAAAATATGTCTTGAGTTAAAGACATTCCAACATTTTGTAAAACAACTGGTATAAGATATAAAAGGAAAAGTCTGAATTCTGTTGCTTTCCAATAAAAAACCTCATGTAATGACCTAGGTTTCCTAGAAAACTCACAAGGAACGAATTTAGTAATTTCACATTAATTGGTAGAAACATTTTTAACTGTGATACTTGAAAATTGAACATTAATATTATCTAGTGTGTTGGGGCGGCTTAATGAAGTTGGACCAGATTTCCACAAATTAAGAACTTTTCTCACAACTTCTAAACACACTAAATGCATATACTCTAAAGTCTGTTATCTTACGTATCCCTGGAATTTGAAGCAAGAGTGATTGACTTTTACAGTGATCTTTATAAATACCATCAGCAAAATGTTCATTATTTTGTGGTGCTGCATTCAAATCAATAAAACACATTCTATTTTTTATATATTCACTTCAACCACAAATTTTTCACAAGAAAAGTAACCTGTATGTCTTTTAATTTGTTTTACTAAAGTTTGAGCCGGTGCATCACAGATGTAACCAATTACTCGGAATGGCTTATAATTTCCATTAATTAAAATGCCTCGTTGCATTAATATTTGTACTTCTTAAACATATTCCATTAGATAACTATTAATATAGTTAGGTTCTTTACTACCATAATAAGCACTTATCATAAAAGGTTTAGATTTTATTTGAACAACACAGCACAATATTGGCCAGAGACATCCATAGTTTCTCTTATTTACTGGCACCCCATCAAAATTAATAAGTACATCGCAATTATTTACATTTTTTAACAATCCGTCATTATATTTTAACCATGCTTTATACAACCCGTCCTCCAAGCCAAAATAATATACTTTCCAAAGTCACTAACAACTTTTGTCTTAAGTGGTATTTTAGGGGTTTTCATAAGAGTTCTTGCATCTTTAGGATGTTTAATCACATCAGATGGATTACATTCATTTAGAATTTTAAGTAATTTGGTAACTACATTAAAAGGGACACAGTTAATTGAAACCCAATGTGCTAGTTTACATTGCAGAGCATTTTCTTCATACATTTTACAACTACCCTCCATTTCAATTTCACTTCCAAACCCATTTTCACTTTCAGATGAGGTAGTTTCAATATCACTTTCATGGGGGGGGGGGGTAATGTTAAAATCGTCTAAACTATTTTCGTGTTCAATATTTTCAACTAAATGTACTGGCGTTGCAATATGTTTTATTATTTCAGGGCAGTTTAGTTCATTTATACTATTTAGTTCTATTACGTTGAGCTCGACCTAAGTGTTTAAAATCTTTATAAGGATTTTTAAGCATACTTACAAAATCAATTTAAATTTTGGTCTGAGGTTGATCTTGATGTCATATACCGTACACTTCCAGGACGCACTCACAGAATAAAATAAATCATAGTACGTAGACACAAAGTACAAAGTAGTGCGACAACCGCGAGTGACGACGATGGTTATCAGACATTCTGATAAACGATAAATTAAATAACAAAATACCTACATTAAACTAATAATAAATTAATAAGTAATAACATAATAATATTAAGTACCTATTAACTATTTACTATAGAGTAGAGTGTAGAGTTAGTGTCACTGTGAGAAAACCACGTAAGACATAACAATTATTATCTGCCGTTATAGTTTAAACTAGAGAGCCTTGATATATAAATAAATATAAATATAATATCAAGGCTCTCTAGTTTAAACTATTAATTATTGATAAAAAATTGATAGTGAGATACAGCACCCTTCCACTAAAAATTACGTACCATAGTCTGCTACAGATTACAGTTGCCGCACACCAGGTACAGCACCAGTGTTGCTATAGCGGCAAGCGGCTCTAAAATCCTGTAATATAAAATGTTAAGGAATCGGAATGGCAGCTAATATTAATATAATACGTCTATTATATATAAATATGCTACCTACAAAAATACGTTTACAATAATCATTGTTTTATATGTCTAATAGAAGTATTCTCTCAATCAAATTAAAAATAACACCAACCTATGGACAAATTCCGGACTTAGTAGAAAAGATGAAACCACAATCAACAGACTTCGAATAGGACACACACATCTAACGCACAGCTACTTGATGAGCAACGACGAACCTCCATCATGCGACACATGCAGAGTCCCCCTAACGGTAAAACATATCATCACCGAATGCCATAAATACAACCAGTACCGCGATCAATTCCACATCTCTGAACAAATCTGTCAAGCACTTGGACCAAACCCACAGGACACTAACAACTTAATTTTATTCCTTAAAAAATCAGAATTGTATAACTTAATTTAAAAAAAAAAAAAAAAAATTATGAAATATATTATTGTTAACACCTTGTACTAATGACCTAGATGTCGATGTATTCAGATCAATAAAAAAAAAAAAAAAAAAAAAAAAGAAGTATTCTACTAGACGTGCAGGCCCTATTTTTATGTGCACCACAAATTTACAAGTGTGCACTACGGTCTACAAAACAAAAATTGAATAATAAGCCAACTACTAGAAAATATGAGTGTTGTTGAATTTTTTAAAATTTAATACATATATATATATATATATATATATTAAGTATGTAATATATTCCTTTTTCTAAGATAGTAGCGAGACTAAATTTTCATTTAAAGCAGTAAAATCAAGTGTCCAGTCCGAAATTGTACAAATAATAGGGTCTGTAGACGTGTACAATTCATAGACATTCGAGACTTCCACATAGACATATATACCCAAGTTTGACGTCTCGTAGCCTTGACATATTTACTGGGATGCCCTTCATTCTACCAAATATCAATCCACCAAGATACTGAAACGGTACCAAGTTTTCAGTGATAAAGTTAATGAACAACATTATCGGAGCTACAATTATAAACGGAAAGTTTTAAGGCGAAGATGTATTTTTGCCTCGCATCCCAAATATTCCAACAGATATGTCTTTCGAATTCAAACGTTTGCAGTTGCCGGTACGACTGGCCTTTGCAGTGACCATCAACAAAGCACGAAGACAATCGCTACAAGTGTGTGGACTGAATTTGGAAAACCATTCTTCTCACATGGACAGTTGTATGTGACATGCTTACGCGTTGGAAAACCTTCCGATTTATTTGTGTACGCACCAGAAGGAAGAACAAAAAATATTATGTTCCAAATGCACTTCAATAAATATCATTCAGTTCAATACTTGAATTGTCCGACTTTTCTCGATAAATCCAATAAAGATTAACTAAATTGAATATCATTGTAAGATTATTACGTTGTATATTTTAACCATTATCTATTTATATGTATAAAAATATACTACTAGCATAATCACTGGTAACGAATTTAATACACAGTTTGAGACATATTATAGATTATTTTTAATGGGCTACAAAGTGCAAGGGTTCAGCTAGTATATATATACAGAGCATATTTTAACATATAAAGTACATGGCACTAGTGCCCCCTAGTAATAATCGAATGCTACCCAGTGGTGGTTGATCGTACCACCAACTAACATATTCTCACAACAACTGTTGTGACAGTTGATTTTCCCTGTATGTTCCTCTGCAGAAGAAAACCACGTCTATGAACTACAATAGTAGACAATTTTATTGAAGTGCCACCTAGTGAAAATTAATTAAAATATGTTCCATATATTTATTATATACATCTACTTGGGTTAAAAAACTTTTTCACTATCACCCATAAAACATTGGGAAAATAGAGATTACAAATGCTACTAATAGGGTATTTCACGAGGAAAATACCTCACGACCAATTGGGTGGTATTACACCTTGAGCCTCAAATATAGGGTTTCTCTAAACTAACAAAATAACAAAAGCTATCTTATTAATAAATTAGAATGTTAAAATAAATGAAGTTTTATGTAATACATTTTAAATGTTGGTAGTTGATCTCTATTTTCTATACTAGTTTTATGAAGTAGAGAAGTTAATGCTACCACTAATAATGCAGTATTGAAACAATCAAGAAGTAGATAACTAAATGTTTAAGTCAAAATATTCAGAATAATTATTATGGATTAAATAATTAGTATTTACTTAAAATAAGAAATACAGTTACAGATTTCAAAATCAATGAAGTAATACTAAATGTTAACAAATTTATTATAATATTAATAATGATTGTAATAACTAATAAATTATGCTTAATATAAATAAATATATATAAAAATATATGAATATATTAATAATAAATATAACAATTTAACGATGACATAATATATATATTTTTAAGTCAATATTAGCATTAGCTATCAGTGTTGAGTATTTTTTCGAACTAACTGAGGAAAACTGCTTTTTGGTTGTGTTGTATTGAATTTTGATGCAATATATGTAAATGGTTCAAACAAAGTAGTTCGATCTAAAGCATTTACTTCAAAGTGTTTCATTTTTTCTCTTATAGACCAATGGGATGCTCGACTAGTAGGACATTCTAAGGTTGGAGCTTTGATATCCATTTCTCTCATTTTGTGACCTAAGATTACATAAAATGCCTAAAAAAAAAAAACATTAATTTAATGAATTCTTTCAATGCATCAATTAGGTAACCGCATCAGTGTACTAACATCTTTTTTTTCCTTATTTTTATCAATTTCTTTTTTTAGAGTGACCAGACAATCAAAAGTTTCTGGTCGACTAGTGTCATACATCAACACGAATGCATCGGAAATGGATGCGTACTGCTTTGCTATCTGACCAAATGACAGCATAAGTGAAGGATCTGGATTCGAATACAAGCCAACTTCGGGTAATTGCGTTAAGTCCAGACCAGCTGTATCGTAAAAACGAACCAGCTCACGTACCCCTTTGTCAGTTTCAATAGATGCTTGATATATATCCTCGATAGTCGGCCACAATTTCTACAACCGTGATTATACAATGTTGAACAATATTAACACAAAGTCTTATGATACTCACATAGTTTTTACTGAAATGTCCATAAATAGCTTGTTCCAGGATGGCCGTCTTGCCGACTCCTTTCACGCCGAATACGACCACGCGATAGTTTTTTACCATGTTTACATGTGTGATTCCAGAGAAATAGAAAACTGTCTCGAATAAATTTAAGTTTAATTATGAAAGTGCCATACGTGATATCAAAATAATAGATATTAAATATATCAAGATATCAAAATATAGACATTAAGTATATCCTTTCCATATTTTCGTGTTACTATTTTACGCCGGGTGATTTACTTGTAACATTATTATTCGCGAAACGACTAACAAACGTGTATTCAAATTTTACAAGTTTCGATTCAAAATAGGATCACTATTAACGATCTAGACGTACACAAAATATTTATGTTCTGGACATAAACAATATTGATAAGAAATAAACATTTTAGGTTAATAAATATTAAGCTAATTTTTATCGTTCCCAACATATTGTACACTGTGTTTATTTACCGACGAATGATAACATTCCAATTGGCTTGTTTAGAGTTTGAAAACAAAAACGTTTGAAAACGAAAGTTTGGCATCATGTCGGACGATGAAGAAATTACTTACGTTAAAAAACCCAAAACGATTCACTATGGTTCATTGGAAGACCAAGAGAGATTGCGTTTAGCGTCATTGAGTACCATCGAAAATGATGGCGAACAGAAAGCTGTTGGTGGAAACATTAATGTGTCCAATGGTAATTTTCAAAACAAATTATAATGATTTAGACCAAACTACATGATTGTATTTACTTACTTGATTGTTTACAGAATATTTCGATTTGGAGGATGCCATATCTAAAGACAAACAGGCTTTACTTGAAGAATTTGAACGCAAGAAGAAAGCTCGTCATGTGCAAGTTTCTACCGATGACGATGAAGTTAAGAAAAACCTTAGACAACTTGGACAAGCCATTTGCTTATTTGGAGAAGGTCCCGCTGAAAGAAGGAATAGATTACGTGAACTGCTTTCAAGGTTTTATTTAGAATATTTGAACTTTTAGCTGTGTTCATATTTTGGCAATATTTTTATAATTTAAAATTTTAGAGTTGGAGAAGATGTTGTCACCAAAAAACCAGAAGAAGAAAGAGAAAAACGTCAACAAATTAAAGATCAAGACACGACATGGTATCACGAAGGACCACCATCATTGTTAGATGCGCGCTTATATATTGCAGGTAAGAATTTTATTTCAGATTCATAAGTTTAATTTTGGGTTCATTTGTTTCTTATTATTATTTTTATACTCTAAAACCATTATTGTAGATTACTCATTATTAAGATCACATTTTCGTTTGGAAAAATTAAGAGAAGAAGCCAGTATACCAGAATCAACACTTACAGCCCGTTTACAAGATCTACATAAATACACAACGTCACTTTCTATTTATTGCAGTCAAATTGGTGATACTAGACCGATATCATACTGCCGGTTCAGCCCAGATTCACAATTTATAGCCACATCATCTTGGTAAATATTTAATTATTATGTTTAAATAACTATTCAATTCTGACTTACATATCATTTACATATAATAAAATAGAAAATTACAAGCTCTTAACTTCAACTTGTCTTATGCGATTTTTGGTGATAGCAATGTACTATTAGCTTTATTGGTATAGTCAATTCTGGATTGTAAAAAGTATTTACTTTTTTATTGTTATTCTTATAAACTATTCATTTTCTAGGAGTGGTTTATGTAAACTATGGTCAGTTCCAGATTGCTCATTAGTCAAAACATTTAGAGGACATAATTGTAATGTATGTTCCATAACATTTAATCCACATGCGGGTACCGCAGAAAATGTCTGTGATCTCGTATCTTGTGCTAGTGATGGTTCTGTTAAATTGTGGGCTATAGATAGGTAAGACATTTTACTGGATCGTTAATATCAAACATTATTTGATCAAAAAAATTGAATTGAGAAATATATGTGATTTCAGTAAAAAAGAAGAACCTGTAGCAGATCTAGAAGGTCATGCACCATTCAGAGTGTCAAGAGCTGTTTTTCATCCTTCCGGTCGATTTTTAGGTACTTGTTGTTTTGATAATTCTTGGCGGTTATGGGATTTAGAACAAGCAGAAGAAGTTCTCCATCAGGAAGGACATTGTAAACCAGTTTATTGTATGTCCTTTCAATGCGATGGTTCAATTGTTGCGACTGGGTAAACAAATCTGTTAATTATTATGTATTGCAATATTTTTTCTTATTAGATTAAAAAATAAGTGTAATTGACTTCTGAGAAATAATTATTTGGCAAATAAAATAATTGTTTAATGTCATTAGTCTTTAATCACATTATACATGATTATAAAAGTTGTTTTAATTTTATATTAAATGTATTTTAAGAGGTTTGGATGCTTTTGGCCGTGTCTGGGATTTGCGAACAGGAAGATGTATTATGTTTATGGAAGGTCACTTGAAATCTATATACAGCATTGACTTTTCTCCTAATGGGTAATTTTTTTTGTTTAAATTTCAAAGTGTCATCTTTATAAGAGTATTTTTTTTTTTAGTTATCAATTGGCTACTGGTAGTGAAGATAATACATGTCGAATTTGGGATGTTAGGAAAAGAGCTTGTCTGTATACAATCCCTGCACACATGAGTTTAGTTTCTGGATTGCGATATCAACCAGAAGGTGGTCATTTTATAGTCACATCATCATATGATAACACAATTAAGGTACTGCATTAATTAATTAAATTAATATAATATTTAGTTTAATAAAATAAAATAATTTACTAGATTTGGGCGAATAAAACATGGCAAATGTTAAAAACACTATCTGGTCATGACAACAAAATAATGGGAGTGGATGTATCTCCAGATTCCAAATATATAGCTTCTTCTTCATACGACAGAACATTTAAATTATGGGCACCTGAATATTCCACATAATTTTTGAGTTTAAATAAAATTAAGATGTAATTTTATATTTATTAAAATATTATAAATTATTAAACATATATTTTTTCAATACATTTTACACAAGGCTGGGCTAAGAATGCTACAAATTTTTGAGTAAGGAGAGTGACAAATTATTGTGAACTTGCCAGAAGTGCTACTGTTGCTCAGCCCAGCCTTGATTACACATGGTATTTTATTTAATATTTCTTATTTTAGCAATTACTGCTGCTACTTTTGAAGCAGCGATTGACGATGATTTCATTACATACTCATCACTTTCTAGTCTTAATAAATTCATAATTTGTCTTGTAGTTTCATTGAGCTTTACTCCAAGTTCTTCCAATACATATCCCAAGTATTCTGAAATATACAAACATAGTTTAAAAAACATACTTAAATTCATGCATAAACCAATAATATGAGAAAATATATTATTACTATTCTACAAAAATAAATAAAACTATATTTTATCAATAAGTGGTAAAAAGTTATATACTAATATAATCGAGTATTTTTAATTTCTATTCTAGCACTTTATAATTACATTTCAAGAAATTCAAACAATTTCCTTCAAAGTACTAGCAAATATTAATTAAAAAATATGTTAAAAGTTAAAATTAATAAGTACTCGAGAATCTATTTATGGGTTTAATATTTTTAAAAATGTTAAATTCAATAATTTTTACTATCATCAAAGTAAAAAACAACTAAAATGTTCATGACTATGTTTCATGGCTTAGTGGTATTAGGTAACTGTTTAAATGTAAGGTTACCAGTTTGAAACTGGTCCCTGACACTTACTTTTTGGCCAAGATGACCTGTTTAAGCCAATAAAACTCTCTTAACATATTATTGAATCTTATTAAAATATTTGTTGAAGTATAATAGCCCAGCTGCTAATTTTTTTTAGCATAAAAATAATTTAAAATATTAATAAGTAATTTTGAATTTTAATAGTACTTATTAGTACTTAAGTGATTAAATAATTATTAACTTTCTATGGTTTTATAACTTCTTAATTGACCATGTTTTGGAATAAGAAAAAAATAATTAGTATCATTAGTAATATTAGCATTATTCCAAAATAATTACAATAGTTGAGCACATAATTAACACAATTACCAATATCAGCAGCTAACTGCTGTGCAGCTAAATTATTTAAGTCTTTTAGTGATTGTATCTGTTCTACATATACATCACATGTATTGCTTGCTAATATCTTTAGTAAAATATTTGTATAACTTTCTTCAGGAGTAGCATCTGTATAACGTCTATCAGATAAATTAAGAACTACAGTGACTGCTTCATTATCTCGAACTAAAAATGGTTCGACATGTTGAGGAAGTGTAATTAAATACTGACCAATCTATGTAAAAAAAAAAAAAATGAATGTCATAATGATTATCATTGTGTTATTGTTAAGAAACTATTTAATATTCAATACTTGTCCAAACACATATAATTTATTACTTGAGTAATATATTCCCTTGGTGACAGTCTATGTTCATCAAAAGTGTCTTTACTGAGTTTTACTTTTTCGACTTGATCTAAGTAAAAAGATATAGGTCGGAATGATATTTTATAAAACGTTTGGTATGTATGTGAACATAGTTTTTCTGTAGCTTGAATAGTTTCTTTAAAAAGTTTCCATTCATTATCTGCAAATAAAAATGTATACAATTTTGAATATTTTTGAGACCAATATAAAATGTAATAAAATATTTAATTTAACTCTTTGAGGGGCAAGCACTACCTATGAAATAAAACCCTTCAGGGGCAGTAAATGATACAATAACATTTTTAAGTTTTTTTGTAAAAACTGTTTCTTATTAACTACCTAAATTCAAAACTATTCAAAAAATTATTTTAAAATTACAAATTTTCCAGTCTGGAAAAAGTGGTTACTTGTATTAACCACCACCAAAAATATTCAACGAATTTGTATAACATACATCATAATATTATACTCTAAAAACTAATAAATTCTTTCATATTAGGTAATTTTAAGTATTATTAATAACACATATTTTATATCACAGATTTATACATCATAATATTAATCAAGTATAAAAAAACATTTTTTTTATCATAACTAGTTATAAGAATTTTACCTACATTTACTTACTTGATAATACAATATGTGTTAAACTTTCTGGTTTACATAACAATTTTTAATACTAACATCATATTATATTTTAAATCTAAAATAGTATAGGAACATACATGAGACATAGGCAACTTTTACTTTTATAATGAGTTAGGCTTATTATTTATTATTTTTGTTTATTTATTTATTATTTATTAATTATTTAGAGTTAAGTTAAAGACTTAAAATTATGAGTATAAGATACCATATTATAGGAATAATCAATAAATACTTGATAGGTATAAAATAAAATAAAATCGTTTTGAGGTGCGCTGTGGTTACTATTATTGACCACTTACAAAACAATAATATTTATTCATATTATACTAATTGATACTAAAATTGATTATGATAACAAATATAATTTATAATAATTAATGTGAGTAAACTATAATAATTATGGAAGAAATAAAAAAATAATAATAGAAACACCATATTTACAATAATTTATAAAAGTGTAAAAATAAATATGTTTATCACATTTAGAATAATACTGTTCACCAACAAAAAGAAAAATCAAACAACAGCACTATCTAGTATTTTATTCATACAACATATGAATTTATGTGGTCATAGCTGCTAACCACCGCCAAAAAAATAATAAAAATACTTATATGAGTGGTTAGTCCTACTAATCACTGCCCCTCAAAAAGTTAAGCAAACATATTTTAAAATAAAATATTATATAAATAATATATTTTTGAACTCTCAATTACATAATGTGTAAAACTAAGTTAAATAATAGTAGAGTTACCAAAATTGAAAGCTAAGGTCAAAGCATTTGATAAAAAGAAGATATAATAATATTAATGGTTAAAATTTAAAATAATTTATCATATTAGGAATTTGCTATGTATTAAAATTGAGATGAAATAAAAATAATAATAAACCAAAACTTACCATTCTTTAAGAAATTAATAATACTTTTTAATTCCATTTGTTTATCTTCAATCAATAGATATTTTGAAACATTTATTGCCCGTTGTTCATTTGTTAAAATACAACTTTTAAATTCTGATTCTATGAGATATAATTCTCGTAAAAACTCTCCTATAAATAAAAACAGCAATTTTATAAAATAAATTTAAAGTTTTTATACACTCGCAATAATTACCAAAGGACTGTAAAAATTTCAAACATATTTGAAATAAATTCCAGTCTTCTCCAGGTGTAATATTAACCATAATACTTTTTAACACTTCTTTTCCTCCTTCAATAGCATGAGCAAATATTCTCTTTAAAATACATAATACCACATTAAATACATATTACATTATCATGAAATTTTTGGGTAAGCTATAATTGTTATATTACATTTATGGCTGCAATCATTTCAGGAAATACACAATGACTAAACACTGCACTTCGACGTTTTGCTTCTTCTGATGCTCTAAAAACAGTGAGTTGAGATTGACCAAATGCTTGGACAATATCTACTAGATCATCTTTGTTTAATGTAAAATCTGTGGTTTTCATTGAGTGTTCATACTCCAATTCTTGGTAAGACACAATTTGTGGAATCAATGGTCTGTAAATGTTTGTCATTATAGTGTCCCAATTAAATGTATCATCTAGAAAAACATAATTTTTAATAAAAAGTATGAAACACAATAAATACAAAATAATTCTAAATTACTTACCAATTTTAGAATCATTTTTGATATTTTTAACAAATACTTCTGTTGCTGTAAATAAATCTGACAACAAAATCAGAGGTTCTTGGTGGGTTTTTATAGAAACATCGACTAATTCAAACATTGGAAGTTCTAATATATTAAACAAGTCTCCATAAGATTGAATTAACTGACACTCTATTTCTGGCTGATCTTCACCATTAAATAATTTTTTATACAATAACATCTGTGTAAAAATAAAGCTTAATTATATTATTTAATAATAATATTACTTTATTTAATTTTTAATCAATATAACTGCTCATAAGTTTTAGATATTTAATACAACTGTATGATAGCCACAGATTTACACAATTAAATTTACAAATCATCACTGACTAAGGTATATTATATCACAATGTACCTGTTGCTTTTTACGTTCTAATAAAGTTTCATAAAAACTTTCAAAAAACAATAATGGATTTTTAGAATATTCATTGGCATAAATTTTTGATGACCATTCTTTCCGTAGCTTGTTTTTGTTACATTTTATATAGTGTTTAATAATCTGATCACGTTTTTTTAAATCAGTAAATATGTTCACATAATGCCTACATTCATCTATAACAAACGTAATATAGTTTTAAAATCTATACCCCATAGAATAATTTTATAATTTTTATAATTTATTAATTCTTACCAATTTTTTCATTTTCAAAAGCTACAGTAAGCATTGGAGTTAATATGACTTCAAGTTTACTTTTCAGCTCTTCCAACTGATTTTTTCTTTCTTCGTAATCTGAGTTGTTTTCCAAGATAGCTAATGAACGCTGCATTCTTATTAATCTATTAGTTACTTGGTCTATCTCTCCATTATCAATTAACTAAGTAAAACACATTGTATAATTAATTGTTATTCTTTTCAATATTAAATTCATTATTCAATTACCATTTCAATATCAGTAATAAGTTTTGTCCAATTGTCCGCCTCTTCCAAAGCATTTTTCGTTATTTCCATGTTACATTTTATTTCATCATACAATTGAAGTTTCAACAATGATTCATCTGTATTACTTTTTACCTTTTACAACAAATTAAAAGTATACAATTGTGAATATTTAATAAATATCGCTTTTATAGTACAACTAATTACTGTATTTATTTCTTGCTTCAAATCCATAATTTTTTGTTGGATACCGGTTGCTTGGTTTTCAAATTGTTCAATATCATTGACAACTTTTGGAAGTGAAGAAAGGACTTGTTCAGTTGTTTCATCTAGTACTTCATGTACTTGCTCTACGCACAGTTGTAACTTTTTCAACATTGTTGGAATAGCCTATGGTAGAATAAGGAAAAAAAATATTTAATATTTTTCAAGCATTTTCAAAAACTAAATCTTGATTTTCAACTACAATAATGATCTAATATTAAATAGTATTTATCATTTTTATAGAAGAATTGGAATACTTGCATAGTATCAATTGATTTAATGCGCATAACATACCTCACGGCATTGATCTGGTGGTTTATCCTTTAACGTATTATTGATCCAATCCACAACATTGAAATCTTTCTCCGAAAACGATGAAATGTTCTGTAGAAAAATAATATAGGTTAGGCGTTTACATACGTATAATGTTCTCTATCAATCGTCAACGTCCAGTAGGTAATTATTAGAGAAACAAATGTGACAAATTACCATTATAACAGTTGAAAATCAAATATAATTCGAAAACTATACAGCGTTCGTGAACAACATCAACCAAAGAACGTGATGAGAGTGATAATTGGAATCGCGAGTTAAATTCGTCATACGACAAACGTCGAGAACAGCTTAAACACGAATTAAGACGTTTACAATTTCAAATTTAAAAACCACGACGATTCGCGAACACTACGCAAATCACTGCTCATTTCATTTCTTATCAACGTCGCAGAAAACGTCACCGAGACAGATAACAATAATGGTAAGAATACGGTTCTGATGGTGGACCGCTGGACACCGTAAAGTGACACACCAACGAAGTGACTAACCACCAGTCCGCGCTGTCGTCGAATTAACACTTCAACCCACTGTAAACAAACGTTTTCGTACGTATGTTTATTTTTCAAATAATTGTTATGCACGGCAGTATTGGGCACGTACACTGATCCATAGGCGTAACTTGGAAATTTATTAGGAGGGACAAAAATATAATTACACATCTTACGAAAAGGGTGTCCGAGGCTAAACGCCGCTTTACTACTTACATATTATTATATAAAATTATTCATTTTCTAACATCATGTTAGATAAGCGAAAATTTAAAATTAAGATTTAAAAAAAAAAAAAAATTGTATAGTAATAGCTATAAACAGTTGTTTTGAACTTATTTTAAAATAAGGTATGCTAAATATCAGAGGGGGCACTGTCCCTCCTAATTTATTCTAGAAGGGCAATTCCTCTTCCGTTGCTCCCCCAGTTTACGCCTATGCACTGATCCATATTATTGCTCGCGAATAGTGGCGGCATGAAGTTTATTTTTTAATGAAGCAGTTACATGTATCGAGTACCCTCAAGTTAAAGTTTTAGATTCAGAGAAAATATTAAGATCAACGAGTCTACACAAAATATTGTATAACTTTAAATTTTATGTAAAAAATGCAAATTATGTATTTAACTTTTCTGTCACACAATACTACCTACCCACCCCGTTTTGCTTCAATAAAACCAGCATCGCGCCGCCACTGAGTATACGTATAAAGTTCACCCCCCTCCCTTATAAAAGAGTCTAGGGACGCCACTGCCCTCTATTATTATTATTAATAATAATTCTGCCCTCTATTATTAATTGCAAACTGTAATTAGCGTACTTGAACATTCTATAATCCGAACGTCAAAAATATCGGTTGGTTTACCGATTTTATCATTATTATAATTTATTATTAACGTATCACATACATAAATGTGTATGAATGTTTTGTAGATAATCGAGACGCGATGTGCTTATCTAAACGCCATCCTTGTGCTCTACTAGTCAGCAGGGACTAAAATTGTGTGTAGTACGACACACTTTGTGCAATTCGAAATGTTAAGTATGTAGTACGAAATTTAAAAGCGTGTTGTGGTTCTATTCTTTATACTCGCATATTATGTTATTTGATTTTAATTTTACATTTTTTTTATTAAATTATTTTACACATTTTTAAATTTCATGATGAACGAGTATCATCAGCAAAATCGAAAATACTAACTATTTTAACCGTGTTACCCATTACTGTTAACGTTTGAAAGGGAAGTGTGACAAAATCCTTAAGTGTGCAGTACGAAAAAGTATATAATTTAGCCACTGCTAGTCAGTCTAGTTTAGGTTTTTACCGTGTACACGTCTTTATACGTATTACGAGTGTTGATGTCTATAATGTCTAATAAACGTAAATGTATTGTTCTTACAATGGAACAAGAAATGAAAATTCTTACCAAACTGTCTACAATTTTTTTTTATTTTTATAAAATTTTCTTTGTTTCCTTATATATTCAAGAATATGCATGTAAAAAGCACTTTTAATTCTAAATTAGTGAAATAGCACTAAAAATCGTAAATATGCAAAATTTAGCAAAACAAAATTTCGTTTACAATATTGGGGATGTACAAAATAAATTTGTTCTTACTTTAAATGTACTTTAAAGACTTTCCAAAAATTATACAAGCATATGATAGAACTTCCTGTTTATTAGTTAGCAACTACGAACCACGGTATTTGTGAATGTGATATAATTATTTTTTTCCCCTAAACAGTACTCAGCGTTGTTGGTTTTTTTATATTTATTTATTATTACATTTTAACAATGACGGGTAAAATAAAGTTAAATCAATATGAAAACATCAAACAAGCTTTAATAAAAGAAAAAAAGCATTTTAATGTTATTCAATAATATTCAAGGCATGAAAACAGTTGAAAGAGAACATAAATTATACAGGATTTTTTTAAAATTATTGAGGAAACTAGTAAACGTATACTCTTTGGAGCGTCCGTATGAAGATTGTTTTGAAATTTTCTTCCATCCTCAAAACCTGGGTTTTATCTAATTATCTTCAGAACGTTATTTTAAATCTAAAATAAATACTCGTAAGATATATATTTTCCATCGATTTTCAGCTTGTCGCGCTTTTCAACGCCAGAATTCTTAGAATCGAAAAATTTTGATGTAACATATCGATTTATATGAGAATTCTGCGAGGTAAATTTTGATGAATTGTTGTTGTTGTTGTTGTTTAACATACTTTACCTGCTGCGGTCCTTCTAATAATCGCGGTGACATGAATCGATGACATTACGCCGCCGGAGTTTCGTAGTTCTGATGAATAATGTCAAGTTATATACACGAACGTTAGTTCGAAACGGTTCGTCGCTGGAATTCATAACGTTAAAAAGTTATGTATATTATTTATTACAATTTATATAATAATTATTATCTTTTTTACTGAATATACTGGCTGTATATCATATGAACCAACAGAGTACATGTGAAAATCGCGAAATGTTTTAACAGTGAAAACATTAATAGCGAAAAGAAAGAAATTATTTTCGTTTGTGAGTATACCTTTATAATATAATAATACTAGATAATCAATAGTGTAATTTTGTACTATCTGCATCTTGGATCACGTAATAATGATAAGTCGTGGTTTAAACCTAACCGCTGTCAAGATTTATATATTATATATATATATATTGTGATAATAGTATGTGTGATGATGTATTTTCTATACTTACATAAGTTTAGGAAAAATATCAAATTTTAATTTTAATTTATATAGTATTTTGATTTTAATATTTATTATTACTTATTATATTATAAAGGTATATCCAGGTATATTTCTTACTTTTCGCTATTAATGTTTTCGCGATTTTAACTAGCCCCCGAACCAGCACGGCGTTGCCCGTGAAAACAATTGCAAGTCAAATACCCTTTAAATTATCATTTTTGTTGTTAAACAAAATAATATGTAATGAATAAAAAAAAAATAAAAATATATTGCCAGAGCTAATAGAAAAACTGATGTTTATTGCTAATTTTTATTTTTTAATAGATTTAATCTGCAAACCGCAAAAAATAGAGTTTTTGTAAATGTGTATGAACATTTTGTGGGCATAACTATGGATAAAGCTAAGTATATAAATTATGCCAATATTTTAATAATTCAAAGATTAAAATCTCTTTGTTGAAAACGGTTAAACGGCTAATTTGATTTGGAAACGCATGTGACAGGACAACGTACAGTTTTCCATGAGAAAAACATTGAACGCTTGTGTTAATTCCAGCAACGCTTGTCCCTGTGCTTTATTTATAGTCATTCCAAATGCTAATTTATTGGGAAATTAAATATGTTTAAACTGAAAAGGTACATCTGAGAGTATAATAGGTATTCTTGGTATTAAAATAGTTTCTCCAGTGTCACAGCTCGTCAAAATAATTTACTTTTGTACCATTGCATAGTCTAAGTAGTCTCAAATTTCTCATTAAAAAAAAAAAAAAGTAGTATGTAAGTACTAACCTACAATCATAGGTACACTCAAAACGAGGCACTCAGGTATATTAGGCAATACACGTGCAAGTTAGATTAGGTATAAGTCATATTTAAATTGTTTAATAATATAATTTTTGACTTGTTTTTTTTATCACTCAAGTCATTGATATAACCATTTTTTAAATTAAAAAAAATTGTTATCAGATTAGTTGACACACAGGGAAAATGAATTCCAGATAACATTTTTATTTGACACGTGGGTACAGAAAGGTTGGCCATCCCTGCCATATGGGTATACGATAAACTATAACAGTAACACAACACATCTGAAAATCAAAAATTTCAAGTGCTTATGTTTATAATATAAATATTATTCAAAACATTTCGAAACTATAATAAGTTTTTAACTAAATAACTAATATCGTTTAATGAAAATTTGATAAAATATCTGATTTCGTCAACGTATCTTTTTATAACGCTCAATAAATAATTTTTGCCAATAATGTAACGGATTTTCGTGATTTTTATAGTTCTGTCAAAATTTAATATTTAAACGCTCATACATTCATTTTTTATAAAAACCCTAATAATGCTACTGTATAAAGCTCATTGTTTTTCTTTAATTAGTAATTTATACTTATGAAGAATTTTGTATCGCATTTTGAACACTTTTTGTCAAATCAAAATAATTATATTGATTTTGTTAGAAAAATAGCTAAGAAAACATCATAATGTAATTTTTTTTAAAATTAGTTAAAATTTAATAATATAATAATCTAATGTTATAAGTATCTTAAATTGCATATTCTAATGAATAAAAATACAATTTATTCTGTATGAATATATTATCTAGGTATACCTATTACAATAATGTTTTGGTCATCTGTGACAAATCATTGATTGCAAATAATAAATTATAAAAAATGCCATAGGTACAGTAATAATACTTATGTATTATTGGGAGCGTTTAAATATTTAAACTATACTTTCAATAAATTTCTAAATTATATCTTATTTCGCGATAGCGTATGAGTACTATAAAAACAAAAACGAATACATGTGCTGATATAACTTAAACGTTGTTTAGTAAATTTCGAGTATCTATATTCGTGTTATTTTGCACTCTCAGCGAGATCTCTTGGCCAAATAGTGCGAACGTTAGCACCGTGCAGGGCCGTTCTGTCCAGGAACTATGTGATGTAATTTTGTTCAGATTACGTTGTATTGTCATTCATTGTTTTGTTTTTGGTTTCCGGTAAACACAAGTAAAGGAAAATCGAGCCAATACCGGACACAGTACCGAATATGTAAAAGGTCATCGATGTGCCGATGTTGGTCAGCAGATATGGACTGATTTGAATCACGATGTAGAACATGGTAAAACCGAAACACGTGGACAGGCCACTGCCGAGTTCGCGACAATACGCGGGAAACATCTGAAAAGA